TTTTTTAATGATTCTTCTAAAATAAAAAAATTTTCAAAAATATTATTTTTGGGGAAAAGTTGAAAGTATCAATTTTCCTTAAAAATAAAATTTCCAAAAATATTTTAGGGAAAGTTAAAAGTATCAATTTCCCTTGAAAATAAAATTTTCAAATGCTTTAAGGAAAAAGTTGAAAGTATCAATTTTCTTTAAAAATAAAATTTCCAAAAAACATTTTAGGGAAAGTTGAAAGTATCAATTTCCCTTAAAAATAAAATTTTCAAAACAAATATATATATTCTTGGGAAAAATTTGAAAGCATCAATTTTTCTTAAAAATTAAACTTCCAAGGAAAATTGAAAGTATCAATTTCCCTTGAAAATAAAATTTCCAAATGCTTTAAGGAAAAGTTGAAAGTATCAATTTTCCTTATGTAAAAGCAATGAGTTTTCTTTTTTAAAAAGAGAGGAAAAGATTTATATCAAAAGTTGAATCATTATTCCTTTTTTTTTCTTTTTATTTTAAATAATCCGATGATAAAGCCTCTACAAGTGAAACAGTAGTCTCCTTGCATCCTCTTGAGGTGAGGAAATTTTCTCAATTTTTTGCTAAAAGTATTAGAGTCAATTGAGAATAATTTCCAATAATTAATTACTTAATAAATTTTTAAAGCTTATTGGATAACACAAAATTAAGCTGGTACCATTTTTCGATAGGCGTTGTGAGGGTGCTATAACCTTCCTCACACATAACCGTACTCCCGAACCCTGTTCTGGTTAGTAGACCTGAACTTATTCTTTTAGAGACCCTTAGGCTTAGGTGTTCCTTAAAAGGATAGATTCCTTAGGTGGCCAATCGCACCTAGATAAAAAAGATTGGTGGCGACTCCTTCAAGTCAATGTCTAGCGATAGGTCCTCGGATCTATATGTTATGACAGACTCCATGAAAAACTCTTTGTTGAAGACCATCTTTTTTGGCAAATGTTCTTTATGCAACTTTATGATATGAGTATGAATCATGCAAAAATGAATAAGAAAAAGATTAGTACACTGAATAAAAATAAAAAAAATACATAAATAAATTAGGACATCATACATAATAAAAGAATTGAATCTTAAGCTTTTGGTCAATCCTAAAGGGAAGGAAATGGCTCTATCTATAGGTTAGGCATTTCTAAGGTTCATTATATGTGGTTTAAGGTTGAAAATCTTAAGGTTCCCAAATTGCTCCCTACACCATTGTCCATCACAAATTAGTAAGACACTCTAATCCTCACCCATTATAGGCTACAAGCGAAAAAGGTTCAATTTGAGTAGGAGTATTTCGCTAGCCATATAGAGGCATTAAAACCTCACAAAAGGTAGGTACTTTACTCCCTCTTAGAGGGACAGAGCTGAGCTCATATTATGCATATACATATGAATGACATAATAAACAAAATTAATAAATAAATAAACAAAAATCCTTTTTTAGAAAAAAATCAATTTTATTACGCTTTTGGATAATACAAATTTATTTGTTGGCCTGACTCTTGGCTTATTTCCAGTGGAGTTGCCAACTATTATAATGTTAGGTCTATGAACCTGCAGCTAGACACTAATTTAAGGAGTCTCCACCACCTTTTTTTATTTAGATGCAATTGGCCACCTAACTGAATCTATTCTATTTTAAAGAGAAATCTTAAGTTTGACTTAGGTATCTTTAAAAGGTAGAGTCATTGTCTATAAAACCAAAACTAGGTCTGAAAGTACAATTATATGTGAGAAAAGTTATAGCACCCCCATAACGCCCATAAAAAAATGGTACTAGCTTAATTTCATATTATCCATTGAACCTTAAAAATCTTACCAGATAGTTAATTATTGGAAATTATTTTTAATTAACTCTAATACTTTTGGCAAAAAATTAAAAAAATTTCCTCACCTCAAGAGTATACAAGAAAACTACCGTTTATCTTCCAGATGCTTCATTGTCGGATTATTTAACATTAAAAAAAATTTCAAGAAAAAGAAATTAATACTTCAACTTTTTTTAGAGATTTCTTTTCTTATTTTATTTTATTTTTAAAAAGAAAAGATTAATGACTTTATTCAAGAAAATTTGATACTTTCAACTTTTCCTTAAAAAAACATTTTTTGAAATTTTTATTTTTGAAGAAAATTGATACTCTCAACTTTTTCTCCAAAAAAAAATATCTTTTTTGAAAATTTTATCTTCAAGGAAAATTGATACTTTCAACTTTTCCTAAAAAAAATATTTTTTGAAATTTTTATTCCCAAAGAAAATTGATACTTCCAATTTTTTTTTAAAACCATTTCTTGTGAAATACATTTTTTTTAATTTTATTTTCTAAGAAAAATTAATACTTTTAACTTTTCCTTAAAACCTTTGAAGTTATTTTTTTATTTAAGAAAATTTGATACTTTCAACTTTTTCTCAAAAAACGTTCTTTTATAAAATACATTTTTTGTAAATTTTAAATTTTTTTAAAGAAAATTTGTATTTTTAACTTTTCTTTAAGGACATTTTTTAATATTATATTTTTTGAAAGATTTTTTTTGAAGGAAAATTGATACTTTCAACTTTTTCTCAAAAAATATTTTTGAAATTTTTATTCTCTTTAAAGAAAATTAATACTTTCAAATTTTTCTAAAAAAAAAATTAAAATTTTTACCTTCAATAAAAATTGATACTTTTAACTTTTCCTTAAAACATATTTTTTAAACTTTTATTTTTTTAAGAAAATTGACACTTTCAACTTTTTTGAAAGAATATATGTTTTTCTGAAAATTTTTTTCAAGGAAGATTGATACTTTAATTTCTCCTTGAAAAATTATAGTTTCTACTGTTTAGAAAAAATTGATACTTTAAAAAAACATTTTCTACATTTTGATTTTTTTAAAGAAAGTATTTTCATTTTGTTTAAAACATGTTTATTTTCGAGAAAAAAATCCCTAAAAAAACTTATACATAATTGAATAAGTGTCATTGATTTATGAAAAATAAACAAATAAATAAGGAAAAAAAAGAAAAAGTAGAAAAAGTTTACCTTTGGGCTTAACTTGGCTCAAACGTGGTACGGCTCCAAAGATAGACGGATTGAAGTAGCTTGCTATACGGCTCAGCTCGGATCGGCAACTCAATAAAGGATGAGTGACGTGGGTAGGCCGGTTAAGGAGCTACGAGTCGAGTTGAACTTTGGGTGACTCGTGGATCTTGCCCACTTTTGAAGTCTAAAATGGCTTCGTTTCATGCTTGTATAAAAAGTAAGAATTTTTTTTCTTCAAATGCTTCCCCACTCTCTCTCTCTCTACCTTTACTATTTCTTACTTTAGGTGATTTTTGATTGTCATTTTTCGTTAAATGTTGCCAAAAAACTCATCAGTATCTGGGCTAACCTCTGGATTCTAGAAATGGTTTGTCAAAAACTAGGAATCCAACCAAAAAACTCACCAAAAATTTTGAATTTTCACCAAAAATTTCAAATTAATTTTGGAATTTCCAAAAAATTCTCATAAATGTAGAAAAATTGAAAAAAAAAAACCCTAATCCTCCTATCAAAACAATAAATTCCCTATAAACCTCATTGAAAAAACTATAACTCCTTTGAAATTTGTTGATTACTTTTTTCCTCTTTTTTTTGTCTTCTCTCCATCTGTCCTCTCTTTTATGATTGCCAGGGTTTATATAGGGGTTGGGCATGAGGTAATGAGGATTCAAAAATCAAAATCCCCTCTATCCTCTCATCTATTTATCCTCATTTTAAAAAGAAATTCTTTTTATCAGAATTTGAAATCCCTAATCTTAGAGTTTCATTAGGACTAAACTTCTGTTTTTATTTATTATTTTTTAATTTGATTATCCTTATTTGAAGGTCAAGAAGTGGGTGTTTACATTAATTTCTGATTAAATTCTCCCTCTACTATATTTAAGTGATATACTTTTATTTAACCCATCGACCTTGCATATATAAGAAGCAATTTATTTTTAAGGATTTAACTAATTTTAATTTAATTTATTAATGAAGTGTCACCATTAGTGAATCAAATCTTTAACTGCATATATATTAGATTGCATAAACGTTTGAATACAAAGGAGAGAAAAAAGGAGATTAAGAAAGCAAATTATATTCGTACCAAGAATTATTATCCAAATTGTTAGCACCTAATTAGCCACAAACTCCATAACCCACAGTTTTCCCAACTTGATGATCATGAAAAGATTGGGAAATGGAAACTATTGACTGGTAAGGGCTTGAACAACCTGTTGTATGGTTGGTTAAAGTTGGGGATTGCCATTCAAGCATGCAAATGCTACCTTCGTAGTAAAGACTACATCCTTTGCAACTTGGTTTTTTGGTAGTGGGAAACGTTGGTCGATCACATCTTTATGTAAAACCTGTAGGTCATTAGGCATCACTATTGATGTCGACACTAATAAGGATAAACATGATAGAAGATCACCAAGATGCCTTCCTATAAGAACTTCCATTGTTAGAATCTCAAAACTATAGACATCACATTTCTCATCTACCTTCATTGTATAAGCCAATTTTGCTTAAAGGAATATATCCAATCAATGTGCTCTATTAAACACGAAATATATCTAACCAATACACTATTTTATAAGAATATTAAGAAGATTATAAAATACATGTTGAAAAACATTGTGAACGTTTAAAAATTTACATTAAAAATTGAAATTCAGAAGTTCAAATAAAATTTTACATTTAGTTCATCAATTTGATATATTGAATATTGAAAAATTAAGTGTTAAACTTCAAAGATCATTTGATACTTGAATTATAGTCAAATTCTTAATTTGATACTTAAAATTTGAAAAGTTACAATCATAATACTACTTAAACTTTGTTTTGACGAATCAATTTGCACACAGAACTAACACTTTTAATTGAATGATGACATGTTTAAAGCATCTTAAAAAAAAAGAGATATCAATAAATACTTGGAGTTATGTACACGACAGTGCCAGCAAGTGAGGTCCAATTGGAAGTGTCAGGCTATAAAAGCCTGGCTATGCGAAAATCTGAGACATAAGCCACATAATCCAAATCTAGAAAATTATCGCTGGAAATGTCTGGATGAATTATAGGTGGTGAATGGCCATGATGCATATAAGACAAGGCATTAGTCACTCGTTTTACGACATTTAGCCTCTTCTCCCAATCCAACTCCATTGCCTTGTCCTTGTTGCTTAACACCATTCTCAAACTTCCTCTTCTACAAACTCAAAACCAAAAATGAGTTCTTTGGATGTGAACAAAAGCCATACAGCTTCACAATATTACGATGCCTTATTTCTGATAAAGCATGAATCTCACTTTCAAAGGCTATCAAGTTGTTGGAAATCATGCTATCTTCAGATTGGTGAAGTTTCTTCGCAGCAACCACCTCACCAATGGGTAACACAGCTTTATAAACAGCTCCATAGCCTCCTGAACCAATGCAATTGTTAGAGCTAAAATCTTCAGTGGCTTCAATAATGTTCTCATAGAGTATTCTTCCATTATATCCCCATACTGTGAAAATATCTCCAAGTTTTGCCTCCATTGACTCAGATTTTCTAGTTCGTTTCTTTTGGCAAAGAATAAGGAAACTTCCAACCATGATAAAGAGCAAAAGAATTAGACCAAAAAGTGGAAGCATAATGAAAATGATGACTTTGGTGCTTTTTCTATGAACGACAACACAAGGCATTAGTCCAGTGGCATTACCACATAGGCCCTTATTGTTGCTTAAGGCATCAAATGAAGCCTCATGAAATTCCTTGATGTTTGGAATAGGGACAGATGGGGTCTCTACTAGGATGCAAAAGGGAATCCAACAAAATGAACAGGAAATCACTAAGCTTTAAAATGAAATCCGGCAGATCGATGCAAAGATGAAGAAATTTGGGGAGATAGATGTCAAGATGGAACAAATGTTTGGAGTTGTGCAAAATAAGCTACTAGAACATTTGAAAAAGTTGTTGGAGATGGCTCCTAATGATGGTAGCTCGATGTCTAACAAGCAAGAGCGAGACTTAGTCTCCGTTAGCAAAACATAGAGGAAGTAGGGGATAGAGCCTGATTGTGATACAGACAAACCTTCCTCTGGTGAAACGATGCTCAACAGTTCTTCACTTTTAGATCAACCTAAGTACTTCGTTTCTCATTCATGTAAGCTGGTCATGATTTCAAGGATTGGGCTTTGAAAATAGAATAGCGCTTTGAGGTTGATTATATCGATTAACAAAGTTTTTTAAAAACTTAACACTTGTCTTATTCGAGTATATTTATAAAAAATTAACAAACTTGATTAATTATTTAAATAGATATAATGAGTTTTTAAATAACACTATATAAATAACAATCCAAATATTAACTGGATATAACAACTTTAAAAATAATTTGTATAATTAAAAATTACCATAGTAATTGCAAAACATGTATAATTTTTTTTTTAATATTGTGTAGAGTTTATAAAAAAAAATTATGTAGAGCCTACACTTTGGAGTGGTGGTCTCTTACACAAATTTTTTTAATTGGCTAATTACAAAATTGAAATAAAACTTGTAGATGAAATTAGCCTTTTTTTTTTTTTTTGCCATTAATTTTGTTCAAAGCCTATCGTTTCTCCAAATAAATAAAACAAGAGTACTCTTCACCATATCATAAAGAAAAGCCGGAGAAAAAGTTATGAAAAGTCATTGATATTTAATTTGAAAACATGTTGGACTAAATTCAACTATAATTTTAGTTTGGGAAAAAATGTTTTTTATTTTTGTTAATAATTATGTATTGTTATTTATTGGCTATATATTATTATTATTAAAATTTTGGATTAAATTTAATTACAGTCAAACCCTAGCTTTAATTAAATAGTAAAAAGGAAAAATATTTTGTGATGATAAGCCCTTGAATTTTTCATATAAGCCTCCATCCTTCTATTATATTCAATTAAGTCCTTAAAATTTTATTTTTGTCTAATTAAGTCTTTAAAATATAATTTTGTTCCATTAAACTCTTTTTTTTTAGATGAAAATTGCAAAAAAAAAAAATTATTTCTTGCCAAATCAGCATACATGTCATAGTTCCTTCAATGATGCCAACATTTACATAGCATATATTTGAAAATATAAAAGCTCTTTGGATGCTAACATGGCCTATTCTATGAGTCATTCGTAAACAGTAACTCAAATATTTTATTTTGTAATGTTAGATTTAACAAATACAATTATTACTGTTAACATGGTAAAAATGGCAAATTTTAATGGTTTTTATGTAAAATAAGACTTAATTAAATAAAAATAATGTTTTACGTTTTTAATTAGATAAAAAAATTTATTTGAGAAATTTTTGAGAAGTATAACATTTTTTAGCATTTTAGTAAAACAAAATTACAAATTAAAGGTATATACTTTAAAATCATCACTCAAATCCGTTTTAAGTATACTTCATACAATTACAATTAAATTTTGAATGATTTAAAAATTAGGGAATGAAGAAAGGTTAGAAAGATGAAATTGTGAGAAATAATGTGTATCAATGTGTATAAGACTAAATGGTGAGTAAATGGTAAAATCAACAAATTATTGTGTGAAATTGTGTTTATTGTGATTTGGTGTACTCACCAATTGTATTCTTTATTTGTTCAAACAAATAAAAAAGTGATATCAGAATTGCTGTAGCTTTCCAAAGCAAAAGTATTGTGCAAATCGATACTATGGCAGAATATTACAATTGACACTGAAAGTCAAAATTCTACGTCTGGCCATTAGTTACATTTCAGAAATAAGAAATGTTGAACATACAAAATAAGTGCTTAAACACAGTTGTTCTATATGACATCCAATTCACTACAAAAGCTTTACTAGAGTGCTTAAACATTTTCAATACAAAGAATTATTATTCAAATTATTAGCACCTTAATATTAGCCACTGCAGACTTCATGATCTCACAATTCTCCTAATTTTATGACTGAGAAAGGATTGGGCAATGGAAGCGATTGACGGGTAAGGCCTTGAGCAACTTGTTGCATGGTTGGTCGAAGTTGGGGATTGCCATTCAAGCACGCACATGCTAGCTTTGTAATAGAGACAACATTCTTTGCAACTTGCCTTACTGGTGGTGAAAGACGTTGGTCTATGACATCTTTAAGTAAAATTTGTTGGTTGTCATTTGGAAATGATGTTGATGCCGATGCTGATGCCGATGCTAATGACAACGATGACAAAGATGAAATCAAATCACCATCATACCTCCCTATAAGTATTTCCATTGATAGCACCCCAAAACTGTAAACATCACATCTCTCGTCTACTTTCATTGTATAAGCCAACTCTACATAGAAAAATATGTCTAATTAATGTGCCCTATTAAGCAATAAATATATCTAATCAATACCTTATTATGCAAGAATATTGAGAATACTATAAAATAATGTTGAAAAGATATTTCGAATGTTTAGAAGATTACATCAAAAATGAAATTCAGAGATTTAAATAAGATTTTATACTTAGTTCATCAATTTGATATATTGAATATTGAAAAATTAAGTGTTAAACTTAAAAGATTAATTACACATTTGATGCTTGAATTGGAGTAAAATTCTTTGATACTTAAATTTAAAAAGTTACAATCTTAGTACTACCTGCACTTTGTTTTAACGCATCAATTTGCATACAAAACTAACACTTTAATTGAATGATGACATGTTTAAAGCATCTTAAGAAAAGAGATCAATAAATACCTGGAGCTATGTACCCGAAAGTGCCAACAAGTGAGGTCCAATTAGAAGAGTCGGATTTTAAAAGCCTGGCTGTGCCAAAATCTGAGATATGAGCCTCATAATCCAAATCCAGAAGAACATTGTTGCTGGAAATGTCTCGATGAATTATAGGTGGTGAATGGTCATGATGCATATAAGACAAGGCATTGGCCACTCCTTTTACAACATTTAGCCTCTTCTCCCAATCCAACTCCATTGCCTCGTCCTTGTTGCTTAACACCATTCTCAAACTTCCCCTCTCTACAAACTCATAAACCAAAAATGAGTTCTTTGGATGTGAACAAAAGCCATATAGCTTCACAATGTTACGATGTCTTATTTCTGATAAAGCGTGAATCTCGCTTTCAAAGGCTTTCAAGTTGATGGAAATCATGCTATCTTCAGATTGGTGAAGTTTCTTCACAGCAACCACCTCACCATTGGGTAGCGCAGCTTTATAAACTGTTCCATAGCCTCCTGAACCAATGCAATTGTTGGAGCTGAAATCTTCGGTGGCTTCAATAATGTTCTCATAAAGTATTCTTCCATTATATCCCCACAATGTGAAAAAATTTCCAAGTTGTGCCTCCATTGACTCAGATTTTCTGGTTCGATTCTTTTGGCAAAGAGTAAGGAAACTTCTAGCGATGATAAAGAGAAAAAGAAGACCAAAGAATGGAATCACAATGAAAATGATGACTTTGGTGCTTTTTCTATGACCGTTGCTAGCAGCAGCGACAGCACAAGGCATTAGTCCAGTGGCGTTACCACATAGGCCCTTATTGTTTCTTAAGGCATCAAAGGAAGCCTCATGAAATGCCTTAATGTTCGGAATAGGACCTTCTAATTGATTGTAAGATATATTCACAACTGTCAAGCTTTGCAAATAATTAAAAGAATTTGGGATGGAACCATTGAGCATATTGTGAGATATGTTCAATATTTCCAAGGAATGTAATTTTGCAAGCTGTTGTGGTATCTCTCCAATAAGTAAATTCTGACTTAAATCTAGATTTTGAAGACCATTTATGTAGCTTATTGAAAATGGAATGCTTTCTTCAAGTTTATTCTTGCTCAAGTTCAGGTCCAATAACTTTGAGCAGTCTCCAAGTCGAATAGGAATCGGTCCACTCAAATTATTTGATGCCAAGTTAAGATGTTGTAGATTTGAAAGAACTCCAATCTCTGGTGGAATTTTGCCTGAAAGTTGGTTACCACTTAGCAAAAGTTTGTACATTAGTTTCAATGTTTCCAATTCCTTGGGAATCTCACCAATGAGATGATTTGAAGAGACATCGAGTTCCTGTAATTGAGTTGCATGCTTCAGCTCAGGTGGTATCTTTCCAGAAATGTTATTATTGGAGATCTGTAGGCTTGCTAGACTATGGCATTGCCCCCAGTTTGGCGAAAGTTCACCATAAAATTTGTTGTTGCTTAATGCAATATACTTCAAATTAGGATATATACCGAAAGCTTCTGATATATTTCCTGTCAACTGGTTTCCTTCAAGCCTAACTCTGTATAAGCTTTTGCAGTTTCTTAAACTTGATGGGATCAGACCCCTCAAATTGTTGTTAACAGCCCCAAGCTTTTCGAGTTGTCCACCGTGGCATACATTCTCTGGTAATGGACCACTGAAATGGTTGTCCGATATTTGGAATGATTCCAAATGAGTAAGATTGCTGAACGAAGGAATTGGCCCTGATAAATGATTAATTTGAAGATTTAACTCCACAAGCTTCGTCATGTTTCCAATTGAAGCAGGGATTGAACCAGAGAACATATTTTGATCAAGGTCGAGAGTAGATAAGCTGGTCAATTTTCCTATGGAAGCAGGGATTGAACCATAAAACATATTTTGATGAAGGTAGAGAGTAGATAAGCTGGTCAAGTTTCCTATGGAAGCAGGGATGACACCGGTGAGATTATTACTTAACAACTGCAACGTGTTAAGAGATTGAAGCAATCCTATTTCATTGGGGATAGAACCAGAGAGCTGATTTTCATACAGATAGAGCCATACCATGTTACTTAAGTTTCCTATAGATGTTGGGATAGGACCAGTTAGTTGGTTGGCTGAAAGATCAAGCATATTAAGTGACTTCATCATTCCAACTTCTTTAGGTATGGAACCATTGAGCCTGTTTTCAACGAGGACAAGTCGGGACAAATTGTGCAAGCCTCCAACAGAAATAGGTATTGGACCGGTGAGATTGTTCGCATTAAGGGTAAGTATAGAAAGTGAACTCAACCTTCCGATTTTAGAAGGAATACTTCCAAAGAAATTATTCAGTGACAAGTCAAGCCAAGTGAGCGTGGAAAGGTTGCAAACCTCTTCAGGTATAGAACCACGTAGATGGTTATCACGGAAATTGATGTAGGAAATTGAACTCAAACTCCCTATTTCTTGTGGAATGGAACCATTGATCTCATTATTTGCCAAGGAAATGAACTCAAGACTTTTCAATAAGGAAATTTCCGATGGAATATTCCCAGAAAAAGTATTGTATGACAAGTCAAGGTGGGTGAGCTTGGAAAGGTTCCCAATATGTGAGGGAATGGACCCATACAGTGAGTTATTATGAAGGTTAAGCCACACCAGGTTAGGGAAGAAAAAAAAGTTAAGACTACGAAGTGTACCTTTCAAGTTCAACATATGATCTGCAAGGCTTAGATTGGTGATGGTTCCAGCCATGTCGCAAGTGATTCCGACCCAGTTGCAATGGCTGCCTCCAACCCACGAAGAGAGCAAAGTTTGGGTGTTGTTGTCAAGGCTAGCTTTCCATTTTAGAAGAGTTTCTGTTTCATTTGCAGCAATGGAGGATGAAGAAGCAAAAACAGGGGGAGACTGATGCAGGACGAGCATGAGGAAGAACAGGGCTTTGAATGGTATCATGAAAGATGCCATGATTTGGATGGTTCAAAAAGTATTGTTTGTTAATTGTTGTAAATTACATTGGCTGGCATGGTCAGGTATTTATGCAAAATACTAGAGCATTTCAGCCACTACAAAACATCCACGTCAAGTGGAAAAAATACAATTTTAAGACCTACTGGTCTTTTCCGTTTAAATCAATTTCCTTGGAAGTTTTTTATAAAAAAAAATTCCAATATAGAAAAAAATTATAAATATTGATATTTAAATTTCAGACCTATTGTGATTATATAAATTAATTAAATTAAATTAAAAAAATTATAGATATTGATTACTGATTTCTTTATTTTCTTTTATAAAGTAAATAAAAGATGATTTTATTTTGGTTAATTTACGTTTATTTTAATCAAAAGTAAAGGTTAAAATAATTTTCATGATAATTAATTTCAATGAAAATTTTATATACATCAATAAAATTTTTAAACTTAGAAAAATGAGTTTATAAGATTACGACATATCATTAGGTCATAATTAAAAAAAAAATAAGTATGTGGAGAAATTAATGAATTAAAAATTATCTAATATAAATTTTTTAAATTTTATAAACAAAATTAAAAAATTACATGTATTTTATAATAATATATTTATAAAAATTAATAAATTTTTAAAAGCTCTATTGTCTATATATCTATATAAAATAATAATTCAATTATTAAATGAAAATACCAATTCTATAAACCATAAATCAACAGTCAAGTTAATATATAAAATAATAATTCTAAAATATGTGTAAATTTTTACATTTAATTTGGTTCAAGCCAATCTTTTTATCTAATATAAAGTCTTATATAATTCTTTTGGCCACCCATTTCTAATGTGTTCATGGTAGCAATTAAATTATATATCAGAAGATATATAAGAATCATCAACATTACAATGCAACAGAAAAGACTTAAATGAATTAAATGAAATTTTATAAATGAAGTTAATATCATACACATTTTAGTCTTAATTTTTAAAATTTAATATCTTTTTATTTCTATTTAGGTAAAAAACTAAAATTTTCATCGAATTTGGATAAAATTAACATCCCTAATGCAATGGGAATCATTTAAAGTCCAATTAAATTGGTAATAAGATTGATTTAGGTAAGATTAAAAATAGCTATGAGATTGGATACTATATCTATGATATTAAAATCAATTGTGAATATATATATTTCGACGCAAATAAATGATGCAAGTGAGTTGAATTATAGTTAGAAAAGAAATAATTGTTAAATATATTAAATTAAAATTTATATGTAATAAAAATTTTAAATTATTTAACATTTATAAAATTAATAAATAATTGAAAATTCATTAAATTATTTTTTATCAAATAATAATTTTATTGATAAATAATTAAAAACTAATAAAAATAATAAAATATCAAATGATTTTTTTCTTTAATTTTTTATTAATGATGTAGTTATCTATTTTTAGTTAAAATAATAATATAATATAATATTAAATTTATAGTTAGTTATTAATTTTTTTATATTATAATAAAATTTATTAAATAATAATTTTTAATGAATATATATAACAATAATTTTATATATTTATAAGTTTATTATATAATAAAAATTTTCATTATATTAAATTAAAAAACTATTTCATAATTTATTAATTAAAAATAAAAAGAGAGCAAAAATGTCAACAATGTCTAAAGCTCCCTGTACCCCTTTCCGATCAATGCAGTTTAAGTCTTACACCGAAGCTACGTAAACATAATCAAATCACACCTTTGTGATCCAAATAGCAAAGCACAGTGTAATTGTATCAAAAAGTGCTTAAATGCATTAAACAGTGACACAATTCATTTTAAATGAGGTTTTAGATGAAATTTTGTAAGCAAAATTTGTGAATTTTTTATTAAAAATATTAAATAAAAACTAAATTTAATTAATTTAAATTAATAAATTAAAAAAATTGTGTTACATAAATCGAATTGAGCATTTAGAATAAAAGTATAAAAGCATAAAATAAAGAAATTTTTAGAAGGCATATGATTTAAAAATAATTGACCTTAAATAAAGAGTTTTTTCATAATATATTCTTATGTTATTTTATTTAAAAATAATTTTTTATTTATTATTTGAAAATATATTCTTTAATTTGTAAGCTAAATCTAGATGAAGTGAAAAAGTTAGAATTGAATTTGTTTCACATAAGATTTGGAGTTTTGATTCTTATGATATTTTATTTAATATCTTGCAATCAAGTTATTTGATAATTAAAACGAAATTATAACTTTAAAAGCCATATCGATTTTTAAAATATAAATAAATTTTGAAAAATTTTAATCAAATTATTAATTTTAACACTAACTTATTAGAAGTTTCACCAACATGCTAAACATAACAAATTTAGATGAACATTTTAAAATGAAATTTAAAACATTCTTTACAACTAATTTAATAAAAATTTTAAATTGATAAACTAATAGAGCTCAAAAAAATAAATAAGAATGTAAACAAATACAAAACATATCATTTATTGTTCAACTTTAATCGATATTTATTCAATGGTAAAAATGTCTATCTAAAGAACAAATCAAATTATTTTCAATTTTGTACACTCAATCGATGAAATAAAATATTTTAATTTATCGATTTGATTTTTAATTTTATTTTTTAAAATTATTTTCAGTAAAAAAAAATTTTATAAACTTTACCATAACTTTATATAGGTATTTTTTCCATTAAAAATACCTATAGAAGCAGATTTTGTCTGAAAAAGTAAATTTATTTTGAAATAAATTTGAAATGATTCTAAATTTTGTTCCAACGTGTTTGAACTTTTTTATTGGGTTTATCATGTTATTTTTATAATGGATCCAATTACATATTATTTTAACTCAATTTATGAAAAATACAAGACCATTTCACTTTCTATGAAATATCCACACCAAGTGGAAAAATGCAATTTCAAGACCGGCGGGTCTTTTGCATTTTAATTAATTTTGTTGGATTTTTTTTTGAAAAAAAGTTGCAATATAAAAAAAAATTGTCAATACTGATATCTAAAATTTAAATTTATTGTAATTATATGAATTAATTAAATTAAAATTTTAATTCTTTCATAAATATTAATTATTGATATTCTTTTCTTTTCCTTTTACAAAGTAAATAAAAAAAAATTAGTTTAGTTTGTGCTTACTTTAATCAAAAGTACAAGTTAAAAAATTTTTGTGATAAATATTTTAAATGAAAATTATCTGATATAGCAACTAAAATTTTAAACTCAATAAATGAGTTTATAAGATTACTACATATCAATAGGTAATAATTACAAAATTAAGTACATAGAGAAATTAACAAATTAAATTTTATATAATATAAAATTTTTAAATTTTATAAAAAATTAAAAAATTAACATGTATTTTGTAATAACATTTATAAAAATTAATAAAGTTTTAAAAAACTCTATTGTCTAGATATATATATATATAATAATTCCATTATTAAATGAAGATACCAACTCTATAGACCATAAATAAACAGCCAAGTCAATATATAAAATAACAATTCTAAAACACGTATAAATTTTTATTCAGTTCAAGCTGATGTTTTATCTAATATGGAGTCATCCATTTCTTTTGGCCTCTCATTTCTAACATATCCAAGGTGCTAATTAAATTATTGGTCGAAAGATACGTAATAGTTATATTTGTAGACACCCATTTGTATTTGGGGTCAACCGATGACTTTTTTTGTAGTATTATTATTATTATTATTATTATAGCATACCCTATTCTTATATTATAGTATATTATTATAGTATAGTATATTGTTATAATATATTATTATATTATTATAGTATAATATATTATTATGGTATATTATATTATATTCTATTCTATTTTTTTTTTATCATTTTTCTTTCCTTTTTCTTTTTTGATTTACGATTGAATAAGGTAATTGAAATCTTGAATCAACCAAATCAGAGGAATCCCATCGGTATAGTCAAAGAATCAATTAGAGGTTTTAATTCAACCCAGACAAATCAGCAAGGACATAGCCTAAAATCATGCTCGAGTAGAATCCAATTGCAAGATTTAAACCTGGATTGGTTCTATCTTATCCCTAAAATCCCTACTGAGGATTGCCTGTAAATTGGACAAGATTTCTAAGAACAGGATAGGATTGGTTTTAAAAGAGAAGAGGCTTGGTGTTTAAAATTCTGGAAAAAATTTTTTGGGTTTATGAGATTTTTGTTTTAAAGTATCTAGATTCAAGGTTTTGGTGCTAAATAGGGGTTAGGATTTTAGAGGGGTTTGGATTTCTAGTTCTCATTCTGGAGTGTTGGAATTGAGATTTTGGATTTCTAGGATTAAGGTTGGTTTCTGAAAAAATTTGAAGAATTTGAAAAAAATCTTAAAAAAAATGGGTTTGGGGATGAAATTTTGAATTTTTTAGTTAAATTTTTTGGTAAAATTTGAGTTTTCTGACCACTTTTTAGCTATTTTTTAAAAATCGGTGAGCTTTTCAATTTCTAGTTGAAAGCTCGTCTTTCTTAGAGAGAAGTCAGAAAATTTTCAGTTAGAGAAAGAGAGTAGAGAATTTTTGAGGAAAAACCGAAGACCTTGACTTTTATACTATCCTTATGCAACGTTGTTTCTGAGTGCTGAGATCCACGCGTAACCCGACTAGGATCCACACGCCACCTGTGGTTCAACCAAACCCGATCATAGGTTTTTCTTTTTCTATTTTAAATTTATTTTTTGATTTGATTATTTATTTATTTATTATTTTATTTTACTGATTTTTATTATTTATTTACTTTTATTAATTAACTTATTATTTACTAAATATTTTGCAAAAATTCTTTTATTTTTGGAAAATAATAAAATAAGGAAAAAAATAAAATAAAAATTTTTTTTCAAATAAATTCATGAATCCTACCAAACTATTGGAGAATTTTCATGGATTTAAATTTATGGAATCTACCAAACTATTGAAAAATTTCATAAATAAATTTTAAAAAAATAAAAAATAATTTTTATCCTACCAAACTATTAGAAGATTATTTCCTAAATTATGTCTTACCAAACTATTGGAATATTTAATGAATTTTCTCAAAAAAATAAA